AGATGGACACGCTGGGGGGCACTGGGAGGGACGGGGGAGACACTGGGATCAGCTGAGGGGCACTGGGAGGGAGGGGAGAGGGCTTGGAGGACATTGGGAGGGATTGGGATGGCAGTGGAAGGGACTGGGAATAGACTGGGGTAGAAGGGGAGGGGCTGGGGGGGCACTGGGGAGAGAGTTGGGAGATGTGGGAGTGAAGTGAGAACGACTGGGAATGGACTGAGAGGGTCTGGGAATGGAGTGAGACGGACTGGGAGGGACTGGTCTGGACTGGGAATGACTGTGAATGACTGGTCTGGACTGGGAAGGAAGCGATCGGGACTGGGAGGCTGAGTGGTGGTGAGGGAACTCTTTGGTTTGGGTCTGCCTGGCAACTGGAGCGTCATCAGAGAGACGCGCTGGGATTGGCTGAGGGGCGTGAGCTCGTTGGCCCCAGCGGGGTGGAGACGCGGGGGGCACTGGGAGAGACTGGGATGGACTGGGATGGAGTAGGAAAAACTGGAGTGGACTGGGAGAGACCAGGGGGCATTGGAGGGACTGGGAGGGGTTGGGACCGCCTGGGGGAACTGAGAGAGACTGGGATGGACTGGGAAGAAATGGGAGGGGGCAAAAGGCCAGGGGGATTGGCAAAGGGAGGTCTGAGGGGTCTGGGGTGATTCCCAGGGAGGATTTGAGGGGCTCCAGGGTCATTCCCGGGGCAGGGCCAGAGGGGACCCGCTCTGCCCCACGCTCACCTCTCCTCTCCACGGTGAACGGGGTGACGATCCTGTAGTTGTGCCGGCAGTGCGTGTCCACTGCTGCCCGAAAGTACTCCAGCATTTCCGGGTCGCTGTTCCAATGCCTGGTCTGGATCTCCCCAAACGGGGTGTCCCCCACAAAGACCCCCACATCACTGTCGAAGTGCACGTACTGCTCCCGGTTGTAGATGAGCCTCTCCACGAACCTGATTCGCTCGGTGCCATTGATGAAGTGACACTCGTCCTTTGCAATCTTCTGGAACACCCCTGTGTGTGCAGGACACGGGTCAGGGGGTGCCCCGTCCCTCCCTCATCACCCCCCAGCCCCCCACAGCAGGTTGAGAGCTCAGGGGGCCACCCCGGACCCCCCTTTCCCACCCCCCTCTGCCCCACGGACACCCCAGCACCGGCTCTTGGCTGGGGGGGAACCCCCCATCAGCCCCCCGGGGATGGACAGGGGGATTGGGGACCCCCCCAATGCTGATCCGAGCCCCAGAGTCCCAGGGAACCGCTCCAGGGCTCAGGGAAACCCAGAGACCCCCATGGCACCCCTCTGCCTGCTCTCCCACACCCTCTTGCCCTCCTTTCCCACCCCTTTCCCCCCCTCCCCACAATCCCCAGACCCCCCGCACTCACTTTGGGGCTCCCACCCCTCCCATTCAGTGCGAGCCTTCCAACCCCCGCACCGCACTCACTTTTGGGGCTCCCGCCCCCTCTTTTCTCCCCTCTTTCCCCCCCTTTCCCACCCCACCCCCCTGCCCGCCCCCCCCCCCGCTCACCCGACAGCTCCTCGCCCGCAGCCGGGGGGG